AGATCGGGGTTATCAAGGGATGTAACTTTTGTGGGGGGTTTGGGTGTTTAAAGGTATTTTTGGGGTTTTGTGAAAATGTATGTTTTTCTCTGCTTGGAGATAATTGGGTTAGATTAGTACAGTTCCTGATTCAATTATCTCCCAAGCACAGAGGAGGGATTCTATTGTTTGTGTATGGGAGTGTCTCACTGTATGACTCTGGTTTTATTGGTTTATTCACTTTGTGTCCCTGTGCTGAACAAGGTCCATCTGGGTGTCACCCTTGTTGGGAAACCTGCATAAAAGGCCAGTGTGCCTCCATTAAAATTCTATTCCAGCTTGCACTCCAAAACTCTGTGTCGTCCTGTTATTGGAGGGAAAGAAGATTTGCTTCTGTGTCTACTGTTCCAGCTTGCAGGGGATTCAACGGGGAAAGTCCTTGTAAGGACTAGAGCTAATTCCCCATTCGGCTCCAGGAAGGAACGGTTCCAGGGCCCCAGTCAAGCCACGGCGACTGTGTGCAGAAGTGTTGCGATTTGTCCCCTGTTCCTGCTATGCTCTTTGGACTAGGAGAGGTCTACCCACTGGAAGCTGGAATCTGGTCTTGGGTCCAGGGTGGGTAGAGGACGGCGAGACCCCAACCAAGCTGCGGCGGTTCGTGGGGTCTACGGTGGTTATGGTATTCCAGTGCAGTGATTATGGTACTGGCAAGTACTAGGAAGCGACGATAGACGGAGGTACCCGGTCAGGGTGCCAGACGGTACATTACAAGGATATTACTGTTTGACAGAATACGTTGTGTTACTCTATAGTACAACGTAGCAGACTTTCTCCTGTATTTTACTGTCAATCCAAGGCGTTTTACTATTCTGACATTGCAGAATAGTCCGCTGCCGAAACGTAGCTGGATTCAAGAAAGAGTAAACTGTCACAATGTTTGTCCAGCTGAACATGTAAATAAATAATCTAACGGAGATATCAGAAACACAGGCACGGAATGGTTTTCACATCACGGTCAGAGGCTTCACTTCCTGTTTGAGGAAAACACTATTATATCCACTACATTAAAATCCATCTAACAAGATTATCTTTACTAAGAGGTCAGAATGCACCATGTAAGGCACTGATCAGCTCTGTTATAGCTAAATTGGGAGCAATTTACTGAAAAGTATGTGATCACCCAGAATCCTTCAGAAAAACAAAGAAATGTGAGACATAATAATGGCTGAAAAATCAGGGGACGCCGTGTGGGTCATCATTGCAATATGACCCAAAGAAGAGCAGGGAAGCCAATCACATTGCATAGTGTAACATGCTATTGTGGTCTATGCAGCTAGCTTTAGAAAGGAGAAGGACGCGTCGCGCTGTATCTGGCCACACGCACAGAGAATGCAGCCTTGGATTTTATGTTCTCAAACAATCCTTGACACGTCAATTTAATCCTCCTCACCCCAATGTAGGGCGTTTCAGAAAAGCGACCCACCAGATCTGTGCACACAGAATATTCTCATGGGCATCTCAAAAACCTTCATGCCTTTCACAAAAATAGTTTAAAATTATGTTTTTGTATGTTTTTTATAAATTTCAAATGCTCTTTCCCAACTCACTGCAGTTCACGGTTTACCTCCATAGCAGGATATCAAGTGTCTTCACTCCGAATGATAAGTCACTTTTTCTATTTTCTATTGATAACATTTGTTATGCAACGTAATTTTAGATCTCACATATGACCTTGGATGAAACAATACCACAAATAGTCCATTACACACTGTTTACAATAAGATACAGTAACCCTATGAAAGAGAAAAAAGAAACAAATATTAAGGCCTAAATAAGCAAAGAAAAACTTCCTGTTTCAGGCACTTAATACAATGTATCTGGAAGCATAGCTGCCAAGTGTCCCTATTTAGGAGCGACATTCCTTCTTTTGGAACCAAATCCTTATATCCCTCTATATTTCTATAAGCTTCATATTGTTGGTGTCTGAGTGTACAACAGAGCTCCACAGTAATAATACTCCCAGTAATGTGTCTGAGTGTATAACAGAGCTCCACAGCAATAATACTCCCAGTAATGTGACTGAGTGTATAACAGAGCTCCACAGCAATAATACTCCCAGTAATGTGTCTGAGTGTATAACAGAGCTCCACAGTAATAATACTCCCAGTAATGTGTCTGAGTGTATAACTGAGCTCCACAGCAATAATACTCCCAGTAATGTGTCTGAGTGTATAACAGAGCTCCACAGCAATAATACTCCCAGTAATGTTTCTGAGTGTATAACAGAGCTCCACAGCAATAATACTCCCAGTAATGTGTCTGAGTGTATAACAGAGCTCCACAGCAATAATACTCCCAGTAATGTGTCTGAGTGTATAACAGAGCTCCACGGCAATAATACTCCCAGTAATGTGTCTGACTGTATAACAGAGCTCCACAGCAATAATACTCCCAGTAATGCTTCTGAGTGTATAACAGAGCTCCACAGCAATAATACTCCCAGTAATCTGTCTGAGTGTATAACTGAGCTCCACAGCAATAATACTCCCAGTAATGTGTCTGAGTGTATAACCGAGCTCAACAGCAATAATACTCCCAGTAATGTGTCTGAGTGTATAACAGAGCTCCACAGCAATAATACTCCCAGTAATGTGTCTGAGTGTATAACAGAGCTCCACGGCAATAATACTCCCAGCAATGTGTCTGTGTGTATAACCGAGCTCAACAGCAATAATACTCCCAGTAATGTGTCTGAGTGTATAACAGAGCTCCACAGCAATAATACTCCCCTTAATGTGTCTGAGTGTATAACAGAGCTCCACAGCAATAATATTCCCAGTAATGTGTCTGTGTGTATAACAGAGCTCCACTGTAATAATACTCCCAGTAATGTGTCTGAGTGTATAACAGAGCTCCACAGCAATAATACTCCCAGTAATATGTCTGAGTGTATAACAGAGCTCCACAGCAATAATACTCCCAGTAATGTGTCTGGGTGTATAACAGTGCTCCACGGTAATAATACTCCCAGTAATGTGTCTGAGCGTATAACAGAGCTCCACAGCAATAATACTCCCAGTAATGTGTCTGAGCGTATAACAGAGCTCCACAGCAATAATACTCCCAGTAATGTGTCATAGTGTATAACAGAGCTCCACAGCAATAATACTCCCAGTAATGTGTCATAGTGTATAACAGAGCTCTGCAGCAATAATACTCCCAGTAATGTCTGAGTGTATAACAGAGCTCCACTGTAATAATACTCCCAGTAATGTGTCTGACAGTATTACAGAGCTCCACAGCAATAATACTCCCAGTAATGTGTCTGAGTGTATAACCGAGCCCCACTGCAATAATACTCCCAGTAATGTGTCTGAGTGTATAACAGAACTCCACAGCAATAATACTCCCAGTAATGTGTCTGCGTGTATAACAGAGCCCCACAGTAATAATACTCCCAGTAATGTGTCTGAATGTATAACCGAGCCCCACTGCAATAATACTCCCAGTAATGTGTCTAAGTGTATAACAGAGCCCCACAGTAATAATACTCCCAGTAATGTGTCTGAATGTATAACCGAGCCCCACTGCAATAATACTCCCAGTAATGTGTCTAAGTGTATAACAGAGCTCCACAGTAATAATACTCCCACTAATGTGTCTGAGTGTATAACAGAGCTCCACAGTAATAATACTCCCAGTAATGTGTCTGAGTGTATAACAGAGCTCCACAGCAATAATACTCCCAGTAATGTGTCTGAGTGTATAACAGAGCTTCACAGCAATAATACTCCCAGTAATGTGTATAACAGAGCCCCACTGCAATAATACTCCCAGTAATGTGTCTGAGTGTATAACAGAGCTCCACAGCAATAATACTCCCAGTAATGTGTCTGAGTGTATAACAAAGCTCCACAGCAATAATACTCCCAATAATGTGTCTGAGTGTATAACAGAGCTCCACAGTAATAATACTCCCAGTAATGTGTCTGATTGTATAACAGAGCCCCACAGCAATAATACTCCCAGTAATGTGTCTGAGTGTATAACAGAGCTCCACAGCAATAATACTCCCAGTAATGTGTCTGAGTGTATAACAGAGCTCCACAGCAATAATACTCCCAGTAATGTGTCTGAGCGTATAACAGAGCCCCACAGCAATAATACTCCCAGTAATGTGTCTGAGTGTATAACAGAGTTCCACAGCAATAATACTCCCAGTAATGTGTCTGAGTGTATAACAAAGCTCCACGGCAATAATACTCCCAGTAATGCTTCTGAGTGTGTAATAGAGCCCCACAGCAATAATACAACCAGTAATGTGTCTGAGTGTATAACAGAGCTCCAAAGTAATAATACTCCCACTAATGTGTCTGAGTGTATAACAGAGCTCCACTGTAATAATACTCCCAGTAATGTGTGAGTGTATAACAGAGCTCCACAGTAATAATACTCCCAGTAATGTGTCTGAGTGTATAACAGAGCTCCACAGCAATAATACTCCCAGTAATGTGTCTGAGTGTATAACAGAGCTCCACAGCAATAATACTCCCAGTAATGTGTCTGAGTGTATAACAGAGCTCCACAGCAATAATACTCCCAGTAATGTGTCTGAGTGTATAACAGAGCTCCACAGCAATAATACTCCCAGTAATGTGTCTGAGTGTATAACAGAGCTCCACAGCAATAATACTCCCAGTAATGTGTCTGAGTGTATAACAGAGCTCCACAGCAATAATACTCCCAGTAATGTGTCTGAGTGTATAACAGAGCTCCACAGCAATAATACTCCCAGTAATGTGTGTGAGTGTATAACAGAGCTCCACAGTAATAATACTCCCAGTAATGTGTCTGAGTGTATAACAGAGCTCCACTGTAATAATACTCCCAGTAATGTGTCTGAGTGTATAACAGAGCTCCACAGCAATAATACTCCCAGTAATGTGTCTGAGTGTATAACAGAGCTCCACTGTAATGTGTCTGAATAACTAATACTCCCAGTAATGTGTCTGAGTGTATAACAGAGCTCCACAGCAATAATACTTCCAGTAATGTGTCTGAGTGTATAACAGAGCACCCCAGCAATAATACTCCCAGTAATCTGTCTGAGTGTATAACAGAGCTCCACAGTAATAATACTCCCAGTAACGTGACTGAGTGTATAACAGAGCCCCACAGTAATAATACTCCCAGTAATGTGTCTGTGTGTATAACAGAGCTCCACAACAATAATACTCCCAGTAATGTGTCTGTGTGTATAACAGAGCTCCACAACAATAATACTCCCAGTAATGTGTCTGAGTGTATAACAGAGCTCCACAACAATAATACTCCCAGTAATGTGTCTGAGTGTATAACAGAGCTCCACAACAATAATACTCCCAGTAATGTGTCTGAGTGTATAACAGAGCTCCACTGTAATAATACTCCCAGTAATGTGTCTGCGTGTATAACAGAGCTCCACTGTAATAATACATACAATACAATAAATGTAGGGTGGCCATCCAGTCGTTACAGAAAGCGAGAGGTTCTGACTTAATCGACGTTTAGCGACTGTTCTAGTTGCAGCTGCTGTATCTATAGTCCTGTTTTGTGGACAATACGGGCGTTCTGGATAAATAATGGAATACAGAATCATGTTTGGTGACCTGTATCGTATAAAGATGTCTAAATGAGAAGAGAATGGGACACATTGCTGACTTATTAACCGAAACGTGCATCTTTACCTACAGTGTGGAAAACGCCACATACAAGACGGCGCAGACCTGCAGCTGAAAGTGATGGAATAGGTGTATTTTTACCCATTTTATACCTTTAACGAGCTTATTTCTGTAGTTTGCCGCACTTGGCACAGAGGGATGCATTTCATAGATAATCACAGACAATAATCATGTCGTATCTGCTCCACGTTTCCTATTTATTGCCACATTTCTCTCTGTGTTGGTGTCTAATAATGAAATTAACAGCTGATAGAATCCAAACTAATAGAAACAGGTGCTTCACAGAAATTCTCAAAGTGTGACGCAACCATCCTAAACCCTAATAATAAGCCTCATCCCAAGCTTGGAAACCATGAGCTGTGCCAGCAGGGTAAGCTCTCCGGTGCCAGAATGCCCATCCCTCTGACAATGAAAGGGTTTAATGTATACTGCAGGTCTCCCTGCAGAGTAACAGCTAATGGAGCAGCACTGGCTGCCTACAGCGCACACAACACATTAATAGGGAGATCACTCCTCATGCTTTGCTCGGGCTGGGGTTAACCCTTTTGGTAGCTGCACTCAACCTGTCCCTGCAAGGAAGCAGTAAAGGTTTTGAATTTGCTGGATGGGACCATGAGAACATTTTGCTGTCTTAATATTTTATCAGCCCCAAGGTCAGTGTGAAAACTTCCAGCTCTGGAGGGAGAGCGAGGCCCTTCAGCGGATAATTAGCAGCAATGCAGTGGAGGTGGGTAATGAGACAGGGTGACAGAGCGAGGATCAGGCATCAGCTGCCGGCTGACCTCACTTCATCACAATGCAGCCTGGAAGGGGTATGAGCTGAATGCGAGCTCTGGGACTGCATAGGACAGCACCCCATAAATCTAGGGGTGTCTGCGGAGATGATGACAGTGTTTGCAGAGGGAGGATAAGAAATAATTGGGGGATCCCATTATCTAATGGCACCCTTACACCATGTGCGTCAGACTTTCCTACATTCACACACCCAAGGCAATGCTCCACAACCTCCCTTATATCCCGTCCATAATATGTACCCGTCTTTTGTTCTCCCCAGTCCATAAATCGTGTGGGTACGCTCTTGGCCCGCCCCGTTTTATCTCCCTACTGTGCTGATTAGAGCTCCGTCACTCCCGCAGTGCTAGAAAGACCAGTTTGTAAACCCTCTTTTTGTTACAGGAAATATATTTTAGTAAAAGCTGTGGGTATAAAGCACGTTATGTGACTGTTTACTGACAAACAAAAAAATCTGCAATAACCGCAACAGAGGAAGTCTGGTCAGTCGTAAAACTCTGGGCGACTTTGAAGAGTTAATTGAAGTGTACGGGGTGACGGGAGTCCGGGTGAGTGGATTTCAAGTCCTCCTATTTATTCACTGGTCCTAAAACATAGCCACAATATACACCAGGAAATCAATACATTTCAAGGAAATTTTCAACAGGGAAACTTTTTTTTTGTAAGTAAAGTGCTTTTAAAAAAATGAAATGCCATTTGTATGCATATTACTTGTGGCTTTTGTTATTTCCCATGTTATGTGTTTTCTTGGCTGCGATTAACATTTGCAATTTGAGTTTGAATTTTCGACAATCAGTTTTTTTCACGAATACACTTTATGTTGTAATAAATGTGCAAAGTTTATCTTTTGCACTCACTAGCCCCTATGTCGACTATACTAGAACTTGTATTAAAAATGGCTCAGAATAAGAACGCTCTCCAGAAAACGTTGAAACTGATGCAATTGCGGTTTAGTAATTTGTTTTGAAATGTCGTTTTAATTGTGCAGGAAATGTCACCTCTTCTTAAAGATTTCGACATCCCCCATCCTCTCCTTGTCCGCAAGTGGGTGGGTTCAGAATCAGCAGACGTGGGAGGTAGAGACATGACTAGAAACTAGGGCAAAAATTGCCCTGGGTTCCCCCCCATGTGTCTCATCATTCCCAGCTCCTCAATGTGTCTCATTTCTCTCCAGACCATCCACGTGTCTCATCCCCCACAGCTCCTACAGTGAGGGGAAAAAAGTATATGATTCCCTGCTGATTTTGGACTTTTTCCCATTGACAAAAAATGATCAGTCTATAATCGTAATGGTAGGGCTATTTCAAGAGTGAGAGACAGAATAACAAAAAAAAAAATTATCCAGAAAAACGCATGTCAAAAAAGTTATAAATTGATTTGCATGTTAATGAGTGAAATAAGTATTTGACCTCTTCGACATAGTACTTGGTGGCAAAACCCTTGTTGGAAATCAGAGGTCAGATGTTTCTTGTAGTTGTTGTAGTTGGCCACCAGGTCTGCACAAATACTTTTTTTCCTCACTGTACATGTGTTTCATCCCCCCCAGCTCCTACATGTGTCTCATTCCCCCCGTGTCTCAATCCCCCAGCTCCTACATGTGTCTCAATCCCCCAGCTCCTACATGTGTTTCATTCCCCCAGCTCCTACATGTGTCTCATTCCCAGCTCCTACATGTGTTTCATTCCCCTCCCCTGGCCCCTTCATGGGTCTCATTTCCCCTCTCCATGTATATCATTCTCCCTCCAGCTACGCCATGTGTCTCATTTCTATCCTATCTCAGAAGATCCTACATGTGTCTCATTCTCTCCCCCAGCCCCTCCACATGTTTCAGTCCTCCATGTGTCTCATTCTCCCCCAACCCCTCCATGTGTCTCATTCTCGCCCCTCCCCCCAGCTCCTCCATGTGTCTCATTTCCCCCCCAGCCAACAATTTTCTTATAGGCCAGCCCCCACACACTCTCTTACTGTAAGGTGTTAAACCATTCTTTAACGGTTTAACCCCAATAGATGCCTCCAGCACTGATCTCCAGGTCTCCCTGCCACCAGACAGCGGCATTGATGATTTGCTGGAGCGGTCGTTTGACGTTCCAAGCCAATCTGTAGTGCCTCTTTCTTAAAAAAAGACAGTTCCTCTTTAATAATTCTATTTGCATCCAGTCATGGTTTGTTCTGTATGCCTACAATAATGCATGTGCTGTAATACACTTACATTCCTTTGGTTTTGCATTACAAATCAAACAAGATGGCTGGCCGTGAGCCAGAAAAAGATGTCTGACTGCTTGGGAAGGAGATCAGTTAAATAGATGAAAATGATAGCTTAGGGGTAACATACTCTGACTGAGTGTAGGTCCCTGTGAGATCAGACTATGTACCATACTTAGATTGTGGGCCCAGTGATATCAAACCTTGTACCATACTCTGACTCAGTGTGGATCTCGGTGATATCGGACTATGTATCATACTTAGATTGTGGGCCCAGTGATATCAAACCTTGTACCATACTCTGACTCAGTGTGGATCTCGGTGATATCGGACTATATCATACTTAGATTGTGGGCCCAGTGATATCAAACCTTGTACCATACTCTGACTCAGTGTGGATCTCGGTGATATCGGACTAAGTACCATACTTAGATTGTGGGCCCAGTGATATCAAACCTTGTACCATACTCTGACTCAGTGTGGATCTCGGTGATATCGGACTATGTACCATACTTAGATTGTGGGCCCAGTGATATCAAACCTTGTGCCATACTCTGACTCAGTGTGGATCTCGGTGAGATCGGACTATGTACCATACTTAGATAGCGGGCCCTGTGATATCAGACCATGTTCTATACTCTCACAGAGTTTAGGTCCCTGTGAGATCGGACTATGTACCGTACTTAGATTGTGGGCCCAGTGATATCAAACCTTGTACCATACTCTGACTCAGTGTGGATCTCGGTGATATCGGACTATGTACCATACTTAGATTGTGGGCCCAGGGATATCAAACCTTGTACCATACTCTGACTCAGTGTGGATCTCGGTGAGATCGGACTATGTACCATACTTAGATTGTGGGCCCAGTGATATCAAACCTTGTACCATACTCTGACTCAGTGTGGATCTCGGTGAGATCGGACTATGTACCATACTTAGATTGTGGGCCCAGTGATATCAAACCTTGTACCATACTCTGACTCAGTGTAGGTCCCTGTGAGATCGGACTATGTACCATACTTAGATTGTGGGCCCAGGGATATCAAACCTTGTACCATACTCTGACTCAGTGTGGATCTCGGTGATATCACATCATGTTCTATACTCTCACTGAGTGTGGGTGATATACATCATGTTCTATACTCTCACGGAGTGTGGGTGATATACATCATGTTCTATACTCTCGGTGATATCACATCATGTACCGTAGTCTCACTGAGTGTCGGTCTCTGTGATATCACATGTTCTATACTCTCACAGAGTGTCGGTCTCGGTGATATCACATCATGTTATATACTCTCACTGAGTGTGGGTCTCAGTGACATCACATCATGTTCTATACTCTCACGGAGTGTGGGTCTCGGTGATATCACATCATGTTCTATACTCTCACTGGGTGTGGGTGATATACATCATGTTCTATACTCTCACTGAGTGTGGGTCTCGTGATATCACATCATGTTATATACTCTCACTGAGTGTGGGTCTCAGTGACATCACATCATGTTCTATACTCTCACTGAGTGTGGGTCTCAGTGATATCACATCATGTTCTATACTCTCACAGAGTGTGGGTCTCGGTGATATCACATCATGTTCTATACTCTCACTGAGTGTGGGTCTCAGTGACATCACATCATGTTCTATACTCTCACGGAGTGTGGGTGATATACATCATGTTCTATACTCTCACTGAGTGTGGGTCTCGGTGATATCACATCATGTTCTATAGTCTCACTGAGTGTCGGTCTCTGTGATATCACATCATGTTCTATACTCTCACAGAGTGTGGGTCTCGGTGATATCACATCATGTTCTATACTCTCACTGAGTGTGGGTCTCAGTGACATCACATCATGTTCTATACTCTCACTGAGTGTGGGTCTCAGTGATATCACATCATGTTCTATACTCTCACGGAGTGTGGGTCTCAGTGATATCACATCATGTTCTATACTCTCACAGAGTGTGGGTCTCGGTGATATCACATCATGTTCTATACTCTCACTGAGTGTGGGTCTCGGTGATATCACATCATGTTCTATACTCTCACTGAGTGTGGGTCTCGGTGATATCACATCATGTACTGTACTCTCACTGAGTGTGGGTCTCGGTGATATCACATCATGTTCTATACTCTCACTGAGTGTGGGTCTCGGTGATATCACATCATGTTCTAAACTCTAACGGAGTGTGGTCTCGGTGATATCACATCATGTTCTATACTCTTACTGAGTGTGGGTCTCGTGATATCACATCATGTTCTATACTCTCACGGAGTGTGGGTCTCAGTGACATCACATCATGTTCTATACTCTCACTGAGTGTGGGTCTCGGTGATATCACATCATGCTCTATACTCTTACTGGGTGTGGGTCTCAGTGATATCACATCATGTTCTATACTCTCACTGGAGTGTGGGTCTCGGTGATATCACATCATGCTCTATACTCTTACTGGATGTGTGGGTCTCGGTGATATCCATCATGATTTCTCTCTCACTGGGTGTGGGTCTCGGTGATATCACATCATGTTCTATACTCTTACTGGGTGTGGGTCTCGGTGATATCACATCATGCTCTATACTCTTACTGGGTGTGGGTCTCAGTGATATCACATCATGTTCTATCTCTCAACAGGTGTGGGTCTCGGTGATATCACATCATGTTCTATACTCTTACTGAGTGTGGGTCTCGGTGATATCACATCATGCTCTATACTCTTACTGGGTGTGGGTCTCAGTGATATCACATCATGTTCTATACTCTCACTGAGTGTGGGTCTCGGTGATATCACATCATGTTCTATACTCTTACTGAGTGTGGGTCTCGGTGATATCACATCATGCTCTATACTCTTACTGAGTGTGGGTCTCAGTGATATCACATCATGTTCTATACTCTCACGGAGTGTGGGTCTCGGTGATATCACATCATGTTCTATACTCTTACTGAGTGTGGGTCTCGGTGATATCACATCATGCTCTATACTCTTACTGGGTGTGGGTCTCAGTGATATCACATCATGTACCGTACTCTCACTGAGTGTGGGTCTCGGTGATATCACATCATGCTCTATACTCTTACTGGGTGTGGGTCTCAGTGATATCACATCATGTTCTATACTCTCACTGAGTGTGGGTCTCGGTGATATCACATCATGCTCTATACTCTTACTGAGTGTGGGTCTCAGTGATATCACATCATGTTCTATACTCTCACTGAGTGTGGGTCTCTGTGATATCACATCATGTTCTATACTCTCACGGAGTGTGGGTGATATACATCATGTTCTATACTCTCACGGAGTGTGGGTCTCGGTGATATCACATCATGCTCTATACTCTTACTGGGTGTGGGTCTCGGTGATATCACATCATGTACCGTACTCTCACTGAGTGTGGGTCTCGGTGATATCGGTCCATGTACTATACTCAGTCACAGTGTGGGTCTCGTGATATCACGTCATGTTTCATACTCTGAGTGTGGGTCTCGGTGATGTAGATCCATGTTAAATCAATCCGGGATGAAGGTTAGACGTGTTTATGTTCTTTAAAAAAGAGGAACAAGAAACAGTTTTTTTCTTTTGTCATCAAGTGGTGGGTTTTACTGTTAAGTATTTACATTATCCAAGTGACCTGTCCTCCTCCCTTTTCCTTCCAAGTAGCTGCCAGATAATTATTACCAGGAATGAAAACTACAAATCACCAGCTATGGCATGTCTTCATTTAACACCTTGTCTCAGGAAATTATCATTTATAATTTACTATGAGTTATTTCATTTACAGATATCGTGGGACTGTCTCTTCAAGGGGAAACCATCTGTTAACAGGTTCTGAGAATGAGAGAGAGATCACCAGGAGAATGAGATAGATCCCCGTGACCTCTGTTAGAGATACTGGATGTGAGAGAGATCACCAAGACTGAGGTCTGCTACAGATACTGGACTCGAGAGAGATCAACAATATTGAGGTCTGTTAGAGATACTGGACTCGAGAGAGATCAACAATATTGAGGTCTGTTAGAGATACTGGACTCTCGAGAGATCACAAGACTGAGGTCTGCTACAGATACTAGATCTGAGAGAGATCACCAAGACTGAGGTCTGTTAGAGATACTGGACTCGAGAGAGATCACCAAGACTGAGGTCTGTTAGAGATACTGGATGTGAGAGAGATCACCAAGACTGAGGTCTGCTACAGATATTGGATGTGAGAGAGATCACCAAGACTGAGGTCTGCTACAGATACTGGACTCGAGAGAGATCAACAATATTGAGGTCTGTTAGAGATACTGGACTCTCGAGAGATCACAAGACTGAGGTCTGCTACAGATACTAGATCTGAGAGAGATCACCAAGACTGAGGTCTGTTAGAGATACTGGACTCGAGAGAGATCACCAAGACTGAGGTCTGTTAGAGATACTGGACTCGAGAGAGATCACCAAGACTGAGGTCTGTTAGAGATACTGGATGTGAGAGAGATCACCAAGACTGAGGTCTGTTAGAGATACTGGACTCGAGGGAGATCACCAATATTGAGGTCTGGTAGGATAGTGGACTCGAGGGGAGATCACCAAGACTGAGGTCTGTTAGAGATTACTGGACTCGAGGAGATCATAATATTGAGGTCTGTTAGAGATACTGGATCTGAGGAGATCACCAAGACTGAGGTCTGATACAGATACTGGATGTAGAGAGATCACCAAGGCTGAGGTCTACTACAGATACTGGACTCGGAGATCAGCTTAATGTGAGTCTGTTAGAATATACTGGACTCTCGAGATCCACAAGACTGAGGTCTACTACAGATACTAGATCTGAGAGAGATCACCAAGACTGAGGTCTGTTAGAGATACTGGACTCGAGAGAGATCACCAAGACTGAGGTCTGTTAGAGATACTGGATGTGAGAGAGATCACCAAGACTGAGGTCTGTTAGAGATACTGGACTCGAGGGAGATCACCAATATTGAGGTCTGTTAGAGATAGTGGACTCGAGGGAGATCACCAAGACTGAGGTCTGTTAGAGATACTGGACTCGAGGGAGATCACCAATATTGAGGTCTGTTAGAGATACTGGATCTGAGAGAGATCACCAAGACTGAGGTCTGCTACAGATACTGGACAGATACTGGACTCGAGAGAGATCAACAATATTGAGGTCTGTTAGAGATACTGGACTCTCGAGAGATCACAAGACTGAGGTCTGCTACAGATACTAGATCTGAGAGAGATCACCAAGACTGAGGTCTGTTAGAGATACTGGACTCGAGAGAGATCACCAAGACTGAGGTCTGTTAGAGATAGTGGACTCGAGGGAGATCACCAAGACTGAGGTCTGTTAGAGATACTGGACTCGAGGGAGATCACCAAGACTGAGGTCTGTTAGAGATAGTGGACTCGAGGGAGATCACCAAGACTGAGGTCTGTTAGAGATACTGGACTCGAGGGAGATCACCAATATTGAGGTCTGTTAGAGATAGTGGACTCGAGGGAGATCACCAAGACTGAGGTCTGTTAGAGATACTGGACTCGAGGGAGATCACCAATATTGAGGTCTGTTAGAGATACTGGATCTGAGAGAGAACACCTAGACTGCTTTCTGTTAGAGATACTGGACTCGAGGGAGATCACCAATATTGAGGTCTGTTAGAGATACTGGACTCGAGGGAGATCACCAAGACTGAGGTCTGTTAGAGATACTGTACTCGAGGGAGATCACCAATATTTAGGTCTGTTAGAGATACTGTACTCGAGGGAGATCACCAATATTGAGGTGTCCTAAAGGTTAAATGAGCAGACACCACAATAGTCTAATAGTTCTGAAAGAATGCAGACTGGTTTGCATTAGGGAAACCTTTCCCAAAAACATAAGCATTTGTTTCCCTACAGCAGTATTTGTCATTTACCACAATATTTTATATATTAATAATGGCTGCACTGAATATATGCTGATATTTTGTGTAATTCTGCGGCAGCTCTGCAAAGCTTTATTTAAGTTCTAAATGGCTATATTCTTCTTCTTTTCTAATTAAGATATTTAAAGGCTCTGCCTCTGAAACATTGTGTGGTTTTATTACCTATGTTCTCCCATTTGTTGGAGCAGTGCTCGGTATAATGACAGCAATGTGTTTAGACTTTCCGGATAGAACGGGGGATACGTGGATATGAGAACAGGAAGTCCTTTGCACACACAATCCTTCTTTAGTCATCATTCCCCAGTGGGTGAACAATATGGACCGATACAAAGATCATTGATTGTTTACCCAAAGTGCAGATAATTTAGTTATTTTTGTTCTGTCTGCCAGGAAGTTGCTGAATTTACAGGAGAATTACATAAGGTAGAAGATAATAGAAGAAATCTGAAGAAGAAAAAAATAACAATTTGCAAAGCGCTTACGAAACAGATCCTTTTCTATTTCCAAAGAATGGAGAAAGAATTTCAATTGGAAAGTGGAAATCTATTTTCTGAATTTTATTAAGTAAATCACATCTCAGGAGGGATAAAGCCTAGTGTTAGAGGTACCATTTTTCCTGCTGTCTCTATTGCTATGGAAACCCTCAGACAGCTGCCATCGCTGAAACCTCTGGAGTCTTGGTCATGCTCCTCCACCCCTAGCGCCAGGCGACGGCGCCTAAAACTTAGAAAAGGTCAAAGGTCACCAGAGTTGGGGGGCAGTAGTGATGCCGAAAGTTCAGCTGTCAGAGGGAGAACATTGAAACCCCCAGCTATAGAGGTGACCCCATCTAGTGAAGACGAAGCCTGGTCCAACTGTTCTACTCCCAGCGCATCACCAAAACGACGCAGAGGCCTGCTAAGAAAGTGGCTGAGGAGGAGAGACGGGAAGAGCTGGTGAGTGTTGTGTACCAAGGCATATTAACATTGTTTGTGGACGTGTTTTCACTGTTTGAATATCTGTTAGCTAGCTTTCAGTATTGCAAAATAAGTTCTTCAGGGTCGCTTATTAAAACGGTGAGTTTAAAATGTCTGCACTAAGGTAGAGAGGCATAATTTGCCAGGGGACTGTAGTGGCGCAGTTCAGAGCTAATGGCTAGGACGGTGTGTTAGGGCTAAGGGTTAAAGTTAGAAGAGCGCAGAGATTTTCATTCATTTTATAGCAATGAAAAGCTGTAAGTGAGAATGTTTGTTCTGTTTTTGATGGTTTGTGAAACCCGGGAATATTTCCCGCAGCTTCTCTCTGGAGGTCGTGCCTCCTGCAAGGTCCCTTTATATTTAGACCGGATGATAATGGGAAGGATTTGTTATGTCTGGTGGGATTACGTTTCAGGAGGTTTAATATGTACATTCTCTGGGTAAATGATATATTGTGTTACTCATTATATTTCAATGTTCCTTGAAAGTGCCGTTTGACAAATATTTTGCAATCACTGGAAACCGTCAGGCACATTAGCAAGCTGAGTGACATTTGAGTGGATAATCAGTTTGCATCTTGTGTGCACAGTGGCATTTGATGTGTAAAAGCTCTCAGTGGGAACCGGTTTATTGTCTGCGATATATTTAGATTTCTCTGGCTTTTTCAGTGCTTTCTAATGGAAGTGATAGTAAGTTTCCCATCCACATTATCTGCCGGTAGGGGTCCAACGTTTGGCAAGGTTCAGCTGGGGAAGCTGGGAGAGGTTAGCCTTTCACTGTCTAATATTGACATCAAACACATGCGTTACCTGAGACATAGCCAAGGTGTGGAGTCTGACCTGGATCCGTCATACTACCTGTAGTTCCAGGAAACCGTTTGGGTCCAAATAGATAAATTTTAAAAAGTCACCAGAACTGCTATATTTCCAATGCAGCTATTTTATTCAAGAATGTGAATATCCCGGCCAATCCCTACACTTCAAGAGAACGCGCACCCTTCATAATATTCTGGAAGGGCTGCCGGCCAGTGTGTGGAGTTGATGTTCTGTCAATACAGGGCTACTCACTAAAGGGAGAATTCAAAGTGAATTTTAGTCCATTATATCTGAACTGGAAACATTCTCTAACTCAACAATACTTACAGGTCGACTACTTTGGCCTAAACTGTGAAATTCACTTGGAAATCTCAGCCTAGTAAATAAGCCTGTTGATCTGTTTCTTTAGGATTCCAGTCTGTGTTAAGTTTGTTGATTTTGCATTGGGAACATAAGATTCCTGTATAAAGGTAACCCTTCCAAACCCTGCCCGACTGAATGCAGAAATCCATGGACACCACGGCGCAAGTTTTATCAATAATCCCAATGAACCGAGCTATAATCATGATAATAAAGATAGATAGACAGACGGAAAAATAGAGAGATAGAGGGGGAGACAGACAGACAGACAGACTGATACAGAGACAGACAGACGGATAAATAGAGAGAGAGATGGAGAGATAGACAGACAGAGAACAAGAGAACTTTACAGAGAGACAGATAGATAGATAGATAGGCAGAGAGACGGATAAATAGAGAGATAGATGGAGAGATAGACAGAGAACAAGAGAGATGGATAGATAGACAGACGGATAGAGAGAGTTGGATAGATAGACAGACAGAGAGATAGATAGAGATATAAGTAGACAGACAGACAGACGGATAGAGAGAGATGGATAGATAGACAGACGGAGAGATAGATAGAGATATAAGTAGACAGACAGACAGACGGATAGAGAGAGATGGATAGATAGACAGACGGATAGAGAGATAGAGAGAGATGGATAGATAGACGGATAGAGAGAGATGGATAGATAGACAAACAGATGTTTAGATGGATGGACAGACGGACAAACAGCTGGTATTCTGGTTTTAGAAAGACTAAATGGACATCAAGGAATGTTCTAATGCCATGTATTTTGTATTGTCCGTGTCCCCTGCTAGATGCAGCTCCATACTGGAAACCCGCAAAACTATGTTGATTTTAGGAGGATTGACCACTTGGTGTCACTGTAATCCTAATTCACAAATCCATTGCCTGAATATGGGGCTGAAACTGTTTAAACAAAAACTATCACTTTCGTGGAATTTATACCAAAACATTGAAAATCACGTATAACGTGGGTAAAACCAACAGCCCAGACCCTTAAAGCAGTTTAGCTTTGCTGATGACGTGTCCTATTTTTTCATTTTACAAACAGTGCAGAATTTAATAGAAATGCATATTTTTGTAAATTAACCTTGTTACACCCAGGGCCGGACTGGGAATGAAAAGCAGCCCTGGAAATAAATTCTTTAGCAGCCTCATAATGCATCGCGCCAGCATAGTGTGGAGATATGGAAGCGGGAAAAAAAACCTGAAAACTGAAAACTATCACTCACACGTGAAAGAAAGCACTTATAGGGCTTCAAACTAAACAAACGAGCGGATTTGTTGTAAGACATGCATTTACATATAATCAATGTTTCAGTCCAACTATCTTGACATATTAAGGAAAGTTTCGCAATTGGACTGAAATTGTTAATGTATGCTATTGCACAGCAGTATAAAATGACGTTATCCTGCTTATTTTGTAACAAGAGTATGCTCTTCACTTTGGCTGACAACTGGATGATCTCAGTCAACGCCAATTCAATTCCCATAGGAAAAGAATTGGGAGGCTATTGCGCATGTGTGGCAAAACGCCGTGCTTCACTGCACCAATCAGCATCTCCTCATAGAGATGAATTGCATCATTGCATCTCTACGGGGAGCGTTCAGCGCCTCCATGCAGAGTGTGGAGATGCTCAACATAGGGGCTGCACACTGTAGTTCTGGTGACTATAGTGTCCCTTTAATATGAAGTCTTTCTTTCACTGGTGTAATGGATCACCTGGCACCCCGACTGGGTATCTCCGTTGAAGGATGCTCCTAGCGCTTCCTGAGGACTCCAAGCACTGCAGCAGACACCACAACCACTGAACTGGAGAAGCATACGAATGCTCTCAAGCATATGATTTCTGTAAGCAGCTGAACAGGAAAAGCATACAATCAGCTTACACACCTGGCAATCAGCATACAATCCAATTCCCCCAATAACGAGACGACACTTCATTTTGAGGTCAAGCAAAACTGAACTTTTAATCACACAAACTCCTTTTAAAGGTTTCTCCCATGCAACGGAGGGATTCACATTAACTGGGACAGTAGCCAATAGTACAGTAGTTACCTCCAAT